AGTATTACTCGTCATGATTGTTATAATATGGTAATATAATTAATGCGGAAAATATCGCATAAATATATAAATTAAGTTAAGTGAATATAGCAAACTTGATCTGAAAACGCAAATAAGCTTAGTTAGCTGCATTTGATAAACCGCGATCAGGATAATCAGATTTTTTACGTATGACGCTACATGTTTCTATTTTCCCGTGATTGAAGCATATGTTTGAGATAACGTAGATGCAGAGGAATAAGTACTTTACAGGTTAAATCCACATGTTTTTGTGCGACCTAATTTCTCACATATACCCTCATTCGTCGTTTTTGATTAATTTTTATGTTTTTCGCCGATCTTAAATTTCACTAAGAAACTTGTGAAGCATATCATTTTCATACAAAATTTTGGACGTAATGCTATTTCGAGTTGGGGTAATTTTTTGAGTGACGTGAAATAGAAATGGTGAACATAAAACGGTATGAACTCTGGTTGAACTCCGGTTGAAGTTTGGTTTAATAAAACAATAATTATTATATAATAAAATATAAACTCAGGTTGAACTACGGTTGAACTATGGTTGAACTCAGATTGAATCGCGGTTGATATTTTTTTTCAAACACATTAACGTATCAAAGCTTCTCTGAAAATAAAAATGGTAGAATGGACAGATGCACAAACACGTACTCTAATCGAAGAACAAAGAAATAGAAATATAGAGTACCATAACCTCGGAAGAAATCGAAATGTATTTTGGAATAATATTGCAAATAGAGTCAATCAAGAGCATAATACTAGTTTTACTGGTTATCATTGTAAAGAAAAATTTTCGAATCTTGTGAGGAGTTACAATGTAAGTTTATACTATAGCCACTATGTGTCTGCCTACAGCAATGCTTTATTTTTTAACGAGATATTGTTTTGCAACTATTTCATAACTAGATCATTTCGCTATTAACAAAAATTTAATCACCCTATTAGGCAATGTGTGAATATATATCAGGTAGACGTGGAGCACATAGAAATCGAATGGGTGCGCAATACTTTGATGAGTTTCGTACGCATTTCTAGGAGAGGCCTGAAGATGAATTCGATAGAATCCGTACTATTAATACCTCAAACCGTAGGTGAAATAGAGATGTGGGAAATACAACACCAGCACCATCTATTGAGGAAGTTAAACGTGAATTAGGCATGAGATCTTCTGTTAGACGAATAAACTGGAGTTTATCTGATATTAGCAGGAGGAGTCGAAGACAATCACCCTATCCCACTTTAACCCATGATGAAATTAACATTAATACAAACAATCCTGAACAAAATATTGGCCGCGCCAGCTCCGCTAAGACATCATCTCTTCAACCACCACCTTATGAGGCTACAAATGAAGCACAAAATCAGAGTCAAGACGATTCCAATAATTTATCATCTAATTTATCAAATCTGCTCTTATCACGAAACGAAAGTGATGTCAGTATGCATGATGTAATAGGTAGTCAACCACTCTCTTATATGGAATCGATAAATGAGGAAGAAAGATAAATTTTTCTCGATACATTAAATATCTTGACTATCCGTAGAGGCAAAGCCTTATGACTCAGAGAGTCGCCCTTATAGGGTTTGTTCTGCAATAAAAACATCAGAAAAAACATATATTAATAAAGCAATTATTTGTTATTTTTATTCGTGTTTCGCAAGTGTAAATAATTGAGTGTGAATTCGTATGTAATACGTTGTACACTCCTCTAACCAAAAATCTTTATTAATAAATATACGATAAAAATACATATAAAATTACAGGACTCTGTGAAAAAAAAATCGTTTCAAGAAAAATTTCCGGGGCCTAATTCCAATCGTTCGATCTCAGAAAATGCCAAGAAAATAACACATGATGCATTGTACGTTCCTCTAACCGAAAATCTTTATTAACAAAATATATATAATAGAAATACAGGATAAAATACATGATATCTGCCCCTTTAAGGGGCGCCTCTCTGAGCCATATATGAAGAAAATTACAAAATAAATCTATATCTATTGCAAAGCAATGAGCATCGCCCTACACTTCCTATACTTACCTAATATTTATTATGAGGTGGTGATGAAACAGTGAGGCTTAGGCTGACATTTCAAGGTAGGTGAGTATTAGCTTGTTCTAATGCCTGCACTAATAAGCTTTTGTTAACGATCATGATATTTCTTAAGGTTAATAATAA